AGCTCTATAGGTAGCAACTGTGCTATTGAGTTTCTGTGCTGCATTTGTGCAGTGGAGTAAAACTGTTGAATAAGGCCATGTTCCCTTCTCATTACTGTAGTTTATGCACACCGTCTGGCACGCAAAGTCCTTGAGCTTTAGCCAGTATCTCTCTGGCATGTCTTCCCCCTCGCTGAAGATCCGACCCGTGGTGAGGGTCTGGACAATGATGAAGGGCCAGCATTAGCAAACCGCTCTCTATTTTTCCCTCCCTTTCTCTGAATGATGTCCTGATGGGTCACCAGATGCCAGTCTGAGCACCTGCTCATTCAGAGTTCCTGCCTACTGAATACGGTGTATATTGTGTGTATATATCTACATAGCATCCAACAGCCAAAACGAAGCGTCAAAACCAGGTCTCCGTTCTCTGCTGAATGGCTGTGTAACCTCTAATATTCATAATCTGATCAAGGATGGGTTGGCTGTCCTCTCAATCAGAATAAAAGTCTTGAAGGTGACCTTCACGGTCCTTGAGAACAGATTTTCTCGTTTCTCCTTTAGTAGATGGTGCGGTAGCCTCAAGGTCATTCAAATGTTAGTACACTATTTGCTTAGTAGTCATCTCTCGCTGTCTGTCTCAAATACGCCGCCATTGATCTTTCATTTCCTCATCCTCCCTGGAGTCTTATCAAATTACAACTCCTAGGTTTTTCGTTTCCACCTCTATCAGCATGTGTTGGATCCTGACGCAGCCGATCTGATGTTTGTTGTGCATTATACACCTCTTACCTAACTCAATGATCAGATGAGTGACATGAAGCAACATATTGGATCAATAAAATGAAAGGGTTTAAGCTAATGCATAATGAGACCTCTTGAATTATCATGCTTTCAGGGTTTCCAATGATAGTTGAACCTCTGACTTCACGTCAACCTAGATGCTAAGCTCATGAGTTTTAAAATCGACTGGTCTAATTTTAAAGGGATAATTCACCCAAAAATGAAAATTGACATTAATTACTCACCCTCTCTTGTGATTCCAAAATTTCTCATTCTCACATTTCATCAAAAATATCTTAATTTGTGTTCCGAAGATGAACGAAGGTCTTACGGGTTTGGAACGACATGAGTATGAGTAATTAATGACATCATTTTCATTTTTGGGTGAACTATCCCTTTAAAATTGGTGTAGTATAAACAATCATTTGGATTACTCTGTGCGTGAGCATTTATGGTGGGGATCGTACCGAATTTGTGTTATAATAAAATGTTGTATTAAGGTAGATTAGAACCCAGAATCCTTCATACTCAAAGCAGAAATGTTACTGGATATACGCATTTCTGACCTCCCGTACATGCGACAGCTGTGGTTTTAATCAAAAAGACTACTGAAACTTGCACGTTAAAGAGCCACGGTAAGTGTCGCAAGGGATTTAAAAAATTTGGAAAAGACTTTAAAGGACAGGAGAAAGTTGTTAAAAGTGTGAAACATCTTCACCAAACATCTGCCAGTGGCCTCGTTTTGTTTAGATGTTTGAAACCAGCCAACAAATTGCCTGGTTTTCTTTGATTCCGTATTGCGAATTTCCCTCACGGTTTCTCATCGATGAAGTCCTAACTCAGTGGTTCCCAACCCTGGTCCTGAAGGCACCCCAACACTGCACGTTTTGCATGTCTCTTTAATCAAACACACCTGATTCAGGTCATCAACTCATTAGTAGAGACTTCAAGACCTGAAATTGGTGTGTCAGAGAAAGGAGACATGCAAAATGTGCAGTGTTGGGGTGCCTCCAGGACCAGGGTTGGGGACCCACTGTCGTAACTGATGGTCCACTGTGGTTTAAAAGTGCCAGCGAATCATCTCAAGTGTTTTGTTTCTTTATGGCCACCAGCAGCACCTACACTGAATTTTGATAGCATGAAAACTGAAGAACCCTCAAAAAAATCTCTGAAGTCTTGTGAGATTCATGAGAAGCATCTGGCTTAGAAGATTATCAAATGTTCCCGGTGCTCAAGAGTCCAGTCACTACCTTTCCTTGAAGTCCCAGCTCAGATGCCATTTCTGTAACAGCCATTTAATACAGACTATGGAGAAATGCGAGACGGGTAAAAGCAAAGTGAGACTTTCACTTTGTCCCTTTTGCAGGAAGTGCCGCAGGATGAACCAGGCCTAATTTTGATTTGAGCTTGTGTTAGGTCAGCTAAAGGCCGTTTTGTTAAGATTAATATGCCAAGGTTTAAAACGCTCATGGCGATTAAATACTGCAGGCTCTGCTCTGTCTTTCTCTCAGCCGTTTACTGGCATGTGAACATGAATTGATTACGTGACCTCTGTAAGTCTAGATGTAATATCACCTGAGCCGTGAGCTGTAAAAGATTCAATTCCGTTCTCCACTCGACCTGAAAAATCTTTTGCGCTTGAAACGCATCAGTTTTTCAGTTTTTCATTCTTGTCAGAGAAAAATTTTAATTAGTCTGCTCGACCTCGGCAATCATAAGGGCTCTTGAAATTCCTGTCAATGCAAAGCTTGAACGTTCAGAGGATGCTCTAAAATAATTTTTGACCTGTTGATTGATTCCAAGTAACATAGGCACACACTATAAAGCTAAAGCTTCGGAAGTGATAATCACATTTAAAAAGGGGAGTGAATTCCCTAAATTGTCATTTTGTGTGTGTACAGAACAGAACTCGCTCTCGAAAATTCAATGATTGACACCATAGAATCTTTCTGCCATCTCACACGTTTGGTATACGCTACTTTTAACAGAACTAATATTACAACAACTGGAGACTTACGTTCGCGATTTTTATCTAAACCACCATCAACAGAGGTGTCGTGTTCGGTTTATGTTTGGAAGGCTATTTCGCAGAGCGCACTTTTTTTTAAGGGTTGCCATGTCCACTTATTATAAGTTATGCTTATTAGCATCTTTGAGCTTGTTGTTTGGGCTTTGTTTATAAAGCGATCCAGTTTATGGAGTTAATAAATTAGGCAGGTGAGTATTTTGGGATGTGATTTATTTCCAAGATAATGCACTTGGATATGAGTTTATTATGGGCTTGTTTTTATTTGTTTTAATTTCATTTATTATGGGCTTTTTTAATTGTTTAAAAATTTTTTAGTAAGATCGGGCGACTAAGGTTGCAAAGGGGTGGAAATACATGAAAGCTTACCAGAAGTTTCCGAAAATGTATTAAAAGTTTATTATGGGCTTGTTTTTTATATATGGGCTAAGAGTTTTCCTAATAAGATCTGGTAACTAATGTTGCAAAGGGGTGGAAACTTTCAAAAACTTTTCAAAAGTTTCAGAAAACTCCAAAATATCTGGAGAGTTTTTTTTTTTAAATGTTGGAAATGTTTTTGTTGGAAATGTTGGAAACCTTTTTGCAAACCAACGCTAATGAGTCAAAACGTACCCTGTTATTTCTTGCTCCGTACATACAGAAAAGACATAACTCTGATTCGTGTTTAAATACGTCGGTAACACTTTAGTATAGGGACCAATTCTCACTATTAACTAGTTGCTTATTAGCATGCCTATTATTAACATATTGGCTGTTTATTAGTACTTATAAAGCACATATTATGCATGACCATATTGTACATCCCTAATCCTACCTTATACCTAAATTTAAAGGTGACATATCATGAAAATCTGACTTTTCCAGGTTTTAAGTGCTATAATCAGGTCCCCGGTACATCTACCAACCAAGGAAAAGTGAAAAAGATTAACCCAGTAACTTTGTTTTACTAAGCCTTTTTCTGCAAGCCTTTTTCTGATTTCGCTCCCCTAGTGAGGTCGTAATGGAATCTCATTATAATATTACCGCCCCTTAATCTGTAAGTTTCCACCCACGATGCCGTCATTTTGATTTCGCAAGTGACAACGGTGTACCAGTTATAATGCCATGGCAAAGGTTTGAGCAAAACACGCTAACTGTTCTGCCTTTGGCTGCACAGACAAGCACAGAACACTATTTAGAGTCCCAGCCTCAGAGGAGACAAGAGAGCAGTGGATTTATTGATTTATTTAATATATATTGCTGCTGCCACACAGATCTAAAATAAACATGCGATTTATTTCCCAGCTTTTTTTGCGATTTAAACACCTTCTCAGACATAACCGACTGTTTTTGTAACTCGTGTGTTTTTAACATAAGCTTGTGTGTGAATGAGAACTTTAGAGTTTAGTTCTCACATGCTGTGACAGCCGCTTTCTGAACGTGTGCACTCAGAAAACCGTATATAAGAAGTTTAAGCTAATATGGTTTAAAACGCATTATTTCAGCGCGATAAACATGATAACATATTGTAAAAAGGGGCATAATATGTTTCCTTTAACAACTACCTTATTAACTATTAGTAAGCAAACCATTTGTAGTTTATTGATGCAAAAGTCCTAGTTAATGGTTTGCTAATAGCAAGAATTGGACCTTAAAGTGTGACCAATACGTTTTTAACAACTAGTTGTTCAGTTTATTTCCGTACACACTACGTTGAATTTCTGTTAGAATTTAGATAGGCAATGTGGTTGTAGAATGCGGTTGTCACTTGCGTAAATGACTGTACTGTGTGTGTGTACAGAACAGGATTATGCACTTAGAGGTGAATTGACAACCGAATCTAGCTGCAATGTATGCATGGCCATATGTTTTTCATCATTCGAAACAACCCTACATTGGGTGCCACATTTGTCTGCATGCATTAGGTTAGAATAGTCTGTTTTCAAATGGCCTTAAATATAAAAGATCTGCATATGGTGACATAATGTGTAATTTCAAGTCATGCTAAGCTCAGTTCCTGGATGACATACCGAGGACATTCTCGAAATGAGAAATGCTTTGCTCCCTGAGCCTTGGGGCTTTTCGGATTGCATGTCAATACTGTTTACTATACTCAGCTTGACGTATAGATGCTCGTGTAAACAATACCTTTATCTTTGTCCTCTAGGAAAGTAATTGCTTTTGTTTCCAGTCCTATTCCCTGTCTGACTTGTCCTTTCTCCGTGTTTGCATTTAGAGGTGATCAGGCAGAGGTACGCGGACGTGCCGGGAGAGCTGCTGATCGTAGAACTGGAGAAAGACCGGAATGGCTTGGGACTCAGTCTGGCCGGGAACAGGGATCGCTCCTGCATGAGCATCTTCGTGGTGGGGATCACCGCTGGAGGGCCAGCCAGCCGAGACGGACGCATCAAAGTGGGCGATGAGCTGTTGGAGGTGAAACGCACAAAAGCACAGTGAAGTGATTGAGTGGTGGGTGTTGAATTGTTGAGGTAGGGCTTCATCTTCAGCTTACCGAACAGTCTATCTTTAACTAAACAGAAAAAAATCACATAAAATAATTTGTTTATGAGCAGTCATTATAATTGATATGAATTGCTTTATTAATGAGTAGCCTATAGGGTACATGTATTCATAGCGAAAATCTTCGGTACGGGTCTTTCGGTTACCGAAATTTCGGTTACTTCGGTTAAATCGTTCAGTTTTTTCAGGAAATTCAGACAATAAATGCTGTTTTGACACTCTTTGACATGGCGTGAGAGATCGCTGTATAAGCGCCTCAGTTCTGATGGCAGTGAGGAGCGCGATCATCCCTTCCTCTTTATTACTAGTTTTACATGAAATAAACATGAATGAATATCTCATGCCTCATGTAATCGCTCAGTTAGTGTTTCAACCACGGAAAGACGTCAACAAAACAGCTTGTAAACAAAATATCACGTAGCGTTTCATTTACCTCAGGCAAGTCATCAGTGTCCACAGCTTGTCAGTTCATCAGAGAAATTAAGTCTAGAGAAGAGCATTTTGCGAAATATTAGACTATACTTTATTAAATGTACTTTACCTGTTAGTGATATCTTAATTATTTAATGTATATGTTTAAATATTTGATGAAACAAGTTATGACTCTGTAAATTATTAGTCTACATTTCAACAACAAATAGAAACTGTATAATTTAGAAGTTAATTTAAAAACAATTTACGTATTTGCATGCAATTTTTTTATTTGAGTGTTGGTTATTATAGTTAAAAATAAATAGTAATTGAATTTAAGTTTAAGCTCTGTTGTTAATTGTAACCTTAAGGGCTCCCTATAGTTTAGAGCAGATGCTGACGTAGATTTTTATAGATTTTATTTTAGATTTTGATAAGAAAATTTGAATCAAATTTATTTAAAGAGAGCCATTTGTTCAGTAAACCACTGTTAAATTTAAAAAAAGCAATGTATGTTTAGTTTTTTTCCTCCTGCTGTACCAAAATCATACCGAACCGTGACATCTCAACTGAGGTACGTACCGAACCGTCATGTTTGTGTACCGTTACAGCACTAGTAGCCTATAATAATAATAATAATAATCATGTATTTTATTTAAATATAAATAGTTATTAATTACATTTAGGTAATTCTATTGTTTCATTAATGATTAATTTTATCATGCATATTCTTAATTTTACTTATTATAATTTATTAAATATTCTAAATATATAAATATATCTCTATCTATCATTCCTTCTATCTATCTATCTATCTATCTGTCTATATATATATCTATCGTTCCTTCCTTCCCTCTACCTATCTGTCTATCTATACTTTAGAACAATTTTCACAAAGTGCTAGTAAATAAAAAAAAAAAAATTAATCCTTCCTTCCTTCCTTCTATCCATCTATGAATATGTGTGTGTGTGTGTGTGTGTAGACAGCTATATTTTATATTTATTGAAAAATGTAATACTAAAAATTAATTTTAAATTATGAATTAACGACATTTAATATTATATATTTTTACTATTATGTATAATTAATATTAATGAGTGAACTATACTGCTTAAATAATATAATTTATTTGTAATAATGCAAAAATATGTATTAAACCAAGCTGTCCCTCCCCTTTTTTACAAAGTGACTCTAACATAGCTTCCAGTGAGGGATTATGGGTCAGTTCTCAGGATTTAGAAGCTATCTGTCCATCTCACTTTCATTTTTTTTGTTTTCTAGGTAATAGCCTTTTTCTGTTGGGCCCCTTGTGATCCAAGGGGAAAATGATGGTTTCCATCAATTTCATTCTCATTCTGGTCTAATGCTGAATGAAGCATGGGGTTCGAGGGTCGTCTGGGTCAGTTTCATATAAATCACTTTGAGTCTTGAGGGATGTGGTGACCAGGCTCTCTGTTCTGGATGTGGATAACCTGGTCCCTCTATCTCTGTCTCGACCTGTTTGTATCTGTGCCTCAACTATTAATGTGCGAATGAGAGTGTGGGGTTTTGCCTCAGATGGGCGGATGAATTTCAAATGAAGCCACCTGCCCTCAGTTTCACTATCTGTGTCTGTGCTTATCAATTTCTCTGCCTCCCTGTCCTGCTCGCTTTATCTCTCCAAGTGTTCTCTGGCTCCACAACCTCACCATACGACATAATTCATTGCGAGTTAAAACACACTGATAACGCCAGGTCACAGGTTTTTATACATGCACAATTTTAAGGTTTTTATTCATGAGTGTGACTTTGATTTGTATTGGCCACACCCCACAGGAAGTTGAATGTGGAATTTAATTTAAATTCCAAGAAACTGAATTGTCCTGTCCTGTTTGAACTTTGTGACAGAATGTGAATAATTTAAATAATTATTTCAAACCAGTCATTTTCACAAATTATGACTGTTTAGTCCCTGAAGTCAAGAATATGTTTTCACCTCAGATTATATATAAAAAAAAAAAAGCAAATTCATGTTTTAATATGTAATCAATGGATTATATAATGGAACTTTGGGAAATCTATTTATTTATTTATGTAATATACATAATATATTCATAATATATTAATATCTCATAATCATTCATATTGTATATATATGAAGGTCTATTAACAAAAAAATTCCTGTCATTTTAAATGGATAATTTTTTGTGACAAGTGAATGATTAAAAAAATTTATTTTAAACCAGTTATTGTAACAAATTATGGTCATTTGTTTTACTGACATCAGGAATATTTTTTCTTCAGTTTATTAAATATTAAGAAAAAGCTAATCCACAATTTAATATTTAATCAATTGATTATATAATTTATGAAACATTTTGGTGAATGTATTTGACCATAAAATTAAAAAAGACAATAAAATATAATTAGTAATTATATTTATTATTTATTAGTAATTATATTATTATAGGGCTGCACGATAAATCGCATGCGATTTATCGTGCAGCCCTATATTATTATGTTTATTTATGACAAGTACACTTAAATACAAATTTATACAGGCAATTAATATCACCTAATATTTCTGAAAATAGCACAGGGTGTATATTATATTATGTTTATGAGTAATTTATGCTTTACAAAGTAAAGCAAAGTATTATTAAAACTACACTTTTAGTTGACTTACAAATGACTCTGAATCCTGTTTGCTACTTTAATTTACATTCAGCTCAAATTCAGGAAGGCATTCGCAATTCATTTCGGAATGAACTCAGCTGGTCTATCGTATTGCTGCATCCCACAATAAATTCCCTGATCTTTTCCCGTCCAGATGGCATTTTGGTTTCCACGTTCGTTTCCTCCTCGGAATTGCCTATCGATTTAGCAATTTGGTCGACACGTACGAATGCTGTATTTTGGTGTGGAATTTGAGGCCTGGAGCCAGGCGAGGCTCAGAGCCGTGCTCGCTGACCTTTGTCTAATATCTATCTCCATTAGACGTGAACACACTGCGGCATTAGTCACGATCCGCTAGTGCTCCTGCCTAATGATTCTGTCACAGGTGATTGGAGACACAAGTCAAACGGTCTCAAATACGTGTTCGCAAACTCAGATGCGGTTATTTGTAAACAGTTCAGCAGAGCAAACTCTTACAAAAAATACCATGGTATTACCACAGGTTTTTAGGGATGTGGTTCTCTGAGTTCAAATGTAGATGCAGTTTTGTCTGTATATTGGTTGTTGACAAATAACATGGACATGACAGACAGACACACAACGTTTTCCAATATTAAGATTTCAGGTTGGGAGTGTAAGTGTAAAGTTTGGCCGCAAATTGTTGCTGTTTTTTCTAAAGTTTCTCAGTTTTACCTTTTAATTTTGTTTTGTTGCCAGTTTCTCCCGCATTTCTCCATTTTAACTGATTTGTTGCAGTTTTGTGTGTGTGTGTGTGTGTGTGTGTGTGTTTTGTTTTGTGTTCTGTTGTTCTTTTTATTGTTCTGTTGCCATTTTCTCAGTTTTACTTTTTAAATTCACACATCTTTTTTTGTTGTTTGTTTGTTTTTGTTCCCCCCCCACCTTTCTCCATTTTTCCTTTGTTGCAGTTTTTTGTTGTTGTTGTTTTTTTGACATCCCCCCCAAGTTTCTCATTTTTACTTTTAAAATTGTCCCACACATTTTGTTTTTGTTTTTGTTTTTTTGCCATTTTCCCCCAAGTTTCTTTTTGTTTGATTGCCATTTGTTTTTTGTTTTGTTGCCATTTTAAGTTTCATTGGTTTGTTTCGTTTCCATTTTTCTCAGATTTCTCTGGGGTTTTTTGTTTTGTTTTGTGTTTTTGTTTTAACATTCCCCCCACGTTACTCAGATTTATTTTTTTTAAATGTTAACTTTTTTTTGTTTGATTTCCATTTGTTTTTTTGTTTTGTTGCCATTGTATTCCAAGTTTCTCTGTTTTGTTTTTTGTTTGGTTTGGTTTGGTTTTCCACTAAGTTTTTCAGTTTTACCTTTGTTGCAGTTCATTTACATGGTCCTGTTTCAAATATTATCTGTATATTCCAGTTTCACGCAGTGTTTTTGTTTTGTTTTATTATGTTCCATGGTAATAACAATGGCTTTCTTTGGAGGAAAAACTATGTGAATCATCTCAATTTACCTAAAAAAAGTCTTGTTTTTTGTCCTGTGCTAACAGAATTTCTTGTGCTTCCATCAGATAAACAACCAGGTGTTGTATGGCAGGAGCCACCAGAACGCATCGGCCATAATAAAAAGCGCCGCATCAAAGGTCAAACTTGTCCTAGTCAGGTAAGAGACCCTAAGACATGACCCTCAGCCTGCTGTTTTCACACACTACCATCTGTGCATTACTAAGAAATGATTCTCATTTCAGTGTTGTTATGAATTCTTTAAATCATTAAAACTAATGAGATCATGAATTTATTATAATGTGTTAGTTTTTACCTCTGGAGCTTTGAAATGTGTGATTAATTGCAACAAATTCAAGAATAATATCATTATCAATTATTAACTCATTGACAGCTCTAATATTTATAACAAGCTCAAAATGTTGTGCATTATTGTCAGTCTTGTGCTTCAACCAAACAAGCTTGCAGAAACTGACATTCTTCCCTTCTTGCAATTACTCAAACCAAGCAATCTCACTTGCCCAAAGACGAATGTATTGCATTTTTTCTCCTGTCCAAACTCCTTGATCAAGCTGAAAATCCAAGGCACCATGGCTAATTAGGATCATAAAACAGGCTTTTTAAGGAGGCAATTGCAGTCTGTGTATGATTGAAGCAATCCAAGTCAGTGCCAGTACTTTCATTAAAAATTCCCATCTGAAGTTAACATGAGTAAAGAGAAAAATAATAAATTTTTGCAGTTTTTACACTTTGTGTGTGTGTGGGGGGGGGGGG